TTAAACAACTCCAAAATCAATGTAGATAAGAGCAAATTTCTATTTTGTCAGCGTTTATTGGTATTACTTAGTATTAACTCAATAAATGAAATAACATATTAAGTTAAATTTGTTACAACTATTATTCAATATTGTTTAATCAAATAATTGTTATTTATTAATTTTTTTCCTTTGTATTTTGAGGGATTTATCTAATTTTGCATTTTATGAAGCTAATTATAATGACCGATAAATAATAAATAATGTCAAATCGACATTACAACAATTGTTTAATAATTATAAAATTAAACAATTAAATGTTAAATTTTTTCTAATTTCACCTAGATTATCAGCGACCCCAAAAACCCACTAACATCAACTTTCAACCAAATCCGATAAATATAAAATATTTTTCCTTAGCCATATTGGATCCGCCATTTTGAATTTCTGAAAACCAAAATCAGATTCGGTATCAGCGACTCCAAAAACCCACGAGTAACAAGTTTCAACTAAATCAGACACATTTTAAAAATTTTTTTGTCCGCCATATTGGATCCACCATATTTAATTTCTGAAAACCGACATCAAATTACCGTTATTATATGGATTACAAAGTATGAATCCCAGTGCTAATTTTACCGTCAATACATAAGTGACTTCCTCATTTAATCCCATTTTATTAACACTTTTTGGCCTCTTTTTTTAATTTAGCTACATGTATAGGTTATATTGGTGCCGCCATATTGAAATTTTTAAAAGGCCATATGTTTTTCAAAAGTACTTATATATACCAATAATTTTTGGGTATAAGCAATTTTTTATATAAAATACTATTAAAATAACCACATCACTACGAAAAAGAAAATTACAAGGTTTTGGGTGGCGTCGGTACAATTTACAGTGCTGGTGGAGGTACGACAGTCGCAATGTCTTTGCGATTTCGCCTCTATGTGGAACCGCTATGAGAATCAAGAGTCTTGCGGAATCGTGAAGCTAAGTTTAAAAATTCGACTTTATATTCCAAAGAGAATCCGCTTTCAACCTCCAATTTTGGTAAACCGATCATTGGATGCTCGGAATCAAACATAGTATGATATAAAGGAAATCATTCTTTACTCGCAGCATACGAGACACCGTTGGCTACATCAATTACTACCTTTTGTTCTTGAATCCAGGGTAAGCCTAAAATTAGATCCTCTTTAGTTCTTCACTAATAAAACAAGTTAGTCGCATGTTATGTTGGTTGATCGTGATAAAAAGTTTAATTTCTTCCATTTTTTTGAAAAATGTTCCAGGAACAACCAACTCTACTACCTTGGGATGCGATCTAATATTTACTTGTTTATTCTCTGGGAGAACCGATAATTATATAAAATTTTCAGTTGCAAATATGGATGCTTTTTTTCTGCAGAAGTTACATTCATCAAAGCGGGCGACGTGTGATTATTTTCTCCTGCGAGGGTTACTGTTGGGTTGTGTGGGCGGCGGGATTTGTTGGCACCGCCCTTCTTTAATTTTCCGGTGCTCCTTCTGGTTTTCCCGTTTTTTCGGACAGAATTTTTTGGTAAATTTCGCAATCATGATGAAGATGGCACTTTTGACAGTATCAACAACTCTGACCTTTTGGAACTTTTGGTTTTGGCTCAGGTTTCGACTCTTCTTTTTTCGGGTTTGTTCTTGTTAGATCTCTTTCATCATATTCTGCTTCCACTGACCTTGTTAATAGTTCATCAAAGATTCGTGGACTTGAACTCATTATCCTGGAGGTGCAAGCGACAGTAAAGCATGCTTTTTCTATGAAGGAAAACAGCGACCGATTCTTTTTTACCTTTACGTTCCGAACAGAGATGTGCCTGCAGTGTCCCTTTTATTGTAGAAGAATTATATTGGATCATAGGATCCATTGATGAGGAAAGATTGATTGAATTTCCAGCGGGAAAGTTTTCGAATCTTAAAGGAACAGGATCGTAATTTGTCGTACTAATCGTAATTTGAGGAATCCTGAGGAACGATCATAGGGAAGGAAAAAGTAGAGAAGAAAAATTTTCCTGATCCCGTGTAAGGATCATAGGAAAAGTCGAGAAAAGAGGGATTGGGAATTTTTCAGATCCCTGAAAGGTATCTTAAAAAGAATCGTGAGAAAAATTGACCAAAGGTTCGAGAACCTCTTGATCCCAAAATTGGAATCACATAATTACGTTAGTGGAAAAGTTTATTCAATTCTTATCGGATACCGCAAATGTATCTTAGAAAGAATCCAGAATATGAGGGAAGAAAAAAGGTAAGGTAGGGTGTAGTTAGGATTAGATTGAGAACGAGAGAGACAGGCGGTATTCCAGATCCTAAATAATGGAATCTTAGAGAAAAATAAAAAAAAGGTTCGATTTCTTCCTGATCCTGTGGAGCGATCATAAAAAATCGAGAGGAAATAGTAATGAAAAGAACGTTAGTTTTCTTCAAATCCCCGAAAAAGGTATAACTGCAGCATTGGATTCGCTATTTTGAAGTTTGGTAAAATGACTAGAAATTTAAATTTAGCGATTTTTAAAATCAATTAGTTACAGATAAAATTCATCGTATTTAAAAAAGAATTTTTAGTTCAATATAAGACGATTGGACTTCCTAACTCTCGAGCCATCCCTTCCACGCACCTTTCCCCTAGCGCAAAAATATCAACGCCCCGACCCAAAATAATTAATTTAGATCGTATTTTAAGTTTATTATTATTAAACTAGAAAAAGAGAATTATACATATAGCATAAGAACAAAGGAATTACATAAGTTCAATCAATGATTAAAAGATCTTTACGCTCGGTTACCAAAAACTCGACTAACTCATTGTCTCTTTGCATCGCAGGGCATGAGTCTCTAGTCATGTTCTCTTTTTTAAATTTTCATACTCTTATTCATTCTTACATACAGTGTTCAAATGTTCCACGTTCATTCTCCGAAATCGAATCACACCACTTTTGTCCACTGGGATTGCTTGCCCCTGCCCTCAGCGGCTACCATTTTTCGTTCATAATTTTACAACTTTAACAATTTTTTCACATATTTAGCAGGGGAATATCGGTCTGTCATTTTAATGGTGACACATACGAGTAAAACACAACCGAGGAAAAAATGACAGACTTATAAAAAGCGCTTAAAATTTCATAATTAATTTTTAATTAATTTTAGGCATAATGTTTAATATTAAGTAGGCACTTAGAAATATAAAAATAAATTTTCTACATGTTAAACTGTCTCATATGTGAAAAACAGGGCATGTGTGCTGCCAGACTTACCTTTTTCCAAAAAGGAGTGAAGAAGGAACCTAACCTCTAATTATGAGCCTTATAAAAATCCTTTGACCAAAACTGTCGCTATCTCTTCATCTATTAGGATTTATAGTAAATCACGAGGGCTTGCAAGTAGATCCGGAAAAAGTAGAGCCGATTCAAAAATACCCCTAGACAAAAACGATGAAACAGCTCCGGCGTTTTCTCAGAATGGCGTCGTGGTACAGACACTTTATTCCTCAATTATCAACCTTAGCCGACGCTTGGAAACTAGTGACAAGGGACAAGAGGTCTTTAACTAAATTCACAGCGAACCCTAAGCAGGTTACCTCGGGATCAAAAAAACATATCGCCGAGCAACCTCACTTTACTATTGACTGGGAATGTGCCGCGATATTAAGGTGTGGGTTAGTACATGCGACATTTGTCAAAAGATAAAACGCGATCAGAGACCCGCCGCGGGCTTCATGGGAAGACAGATTATCCAAAAGCAAATTTTGAATCTCTGCTGACAAAGTCCATGTAAACAAAGTAGATTAACTATCTCACATAATAGATATTTTCATCACTGAATTTAATCAACTGTATGCAAACAAAGTTGTTAAAAAATTTCCCTTTTTTGTTGATATTTCACTTTATATCAAACTTTTCGGCCCTGCACGTGTTTCAGATTGAAGCAACTCACAATTTTTCAAAATGTTTTATTCCTGTCGTTAGGAATTTTAAAAATATGCATGCCACACACATTGACCTATCGCTATCAAGCTCAAATGAACTCAAGGCTTGCAACTCTTTCCGGCATGAAATCGAAAAAAAATTTCGACCAAGGAGTTTACATTTCAGCATGTCACAATGTTTTATTGGAAAATTTATCCAATGCTAATTTGTTGTGCGTATTTCTTTTGTAAAGTTCAGATGAAGTATTACCAGTTTTTACATGAATTATAGAAATATTTGTTGTACATGAAAATGCTATAGTAATCTACAATATCTTAAATACCTTATTCTACAAGGAAGAGCTAAACGCTTATCATGTACAAAAATCTCAATCAATTGGCTATGTCTGATTTTTTCCGTACCCTATGCCAGTATTTAAATTTCGTCAAAAATTGTATGCTCTTTAATTGGATAACGAGCAAAATGAATTTTATGGATAAATCATTTTATTACCAAATAAATTATTAATTTTGTATTTAATTTATAAACATAATCTGTTAATACATGTATCTTTTTGTTTAATGAAAATACATGAATATAATAAATTATAAATTATGCTCTAAAGCGAAATGTATTATTTTTTTCCAATTTTACCAATCAATTTTCAATTCAATTTTTTTTAATTCGTTAAAATGTTAAACCAAACATGTTATCATCAATCAAGCAGCGCCTGCATTATTTCTGTGTACTGTGCATCCATAAACAAATGATAGCAAAAAATATAATGCCTATATATATTATGTTTAAAGCTTAGCAAACTTTAATACTTTTTAACCATTACATGTATTGGACATTCACTTATTGATTTATAGTTTATAATTATCGACATTTTAATCATCATGTATTTCAGGTTTTTCTAATCTTCACCTTAAAAAATAAAGAATATTTTATTAAAATTATATGTACAAAAAGAAAATCTTACAAGCTTTACATCTTCTAAAATAAATACGAAAAAAATTTATTGCATACCTTACGAATTCTCATACAGCGGATGAAAGTAAACAATATAATTTGATTCCACGGTTAGTCAGATGGATCAGAAGTTTCCATTACTTCAGGTGCAATGTTGTATTGATCTTGCACTTTTGGCAATAACGGTGGCATAAAATTGTTCGCATATTTTTTATTACCAAACCCGACGTATAAATTAATTAATCTCCTTTAAGTTAAAAATAAAATATTTATTTATCTTTGAACTGAAAAAACTATTCCCCAGATAGTACATAATCTTGCAGCAAACTTACCGTACAAGTTTGCAAGCTTTTTGAAATCAGATTAAAAATTTTTTTTTTTTCTGTCAGATCTTTGTGGAAATTAATAAATTAATGTGTTTATTTTAACATATTTTATGTATGTATTAGGTATAATTATTATATTATAATTAATAAATTATATATAAGCTTACATAACCTAGCTGCAAACTTATTGTGGAATATTTCACTGTAAACTCTCCGGTATATTGCTACAAGATTACGTACTATCTGAATAAATGCTTAACCCGGCGAGTATGTACCGAAACTGTTACACCAACTATGTGATGGGCATGATATGCCCTGACTGTAAAATTGACTATAAATGTTACATATGGCTACATTAAGTTAATTTCGGGTATTTTATTATAAAAAGTCATGTAGTAAAATATATTTCCTTAATTATTTATTTATGATGACAACAAGTCTTTGTATTAAGATTTATCATATGATTATAAATAAAACATTTAAACTTTTATAAAATAAAATTTTTACTTTTACAAAGTTAGGACTTTAAACATTATAGAATGAGAAGTATAACACTGCTTTTTAGAATGTATGTATTACGATTCGATTTTCTTTCATTCAAAGACAAAAAAATCTCGCATGTTGTACACATATAGGCAGAATGATATGCCAAAATGACGTTTAAGTCCAAGTAATTTAAAACATAATTTGCACAACACTATCACCACACTACTATCTTTTCTTATAAATCCATAAATCTAGCTATTCGAAGTACCAAAACGATACAGTGGAAATTTTTGGATTTAATAATGTTTTAGTAAGTGTGGGGCATGACATGCCTAAGTACATACTCGCCGCTTTAAAGTCCGAAAAGCTTGAAATAATACACAGGCACGCAATAGAGAAACTTATCTACACATTATACTGCCTATTAGATATGTACATGAACTATTAAACGATCTTTAATAATTAAAATCTATAGTGCGTGATCATTTAGTATGATTTCAAGCATAATTCAACTGTTCCAGTTTTTGTTAGGGAACTTGTGTATAAAAAGTCATAAGAATTTATGCGTGTATTTGAAAATTAATTTATATAAAAATACTGTAAATAGAAAGGTACTAATTTAGTACCAATTTTAGGTACTAAATCGGCATTTGGTTCTATTTTAATACCGAAAATCAGCTCTAATTTAGAACCTTTTATTTACAGTGAATTATCTGTAGAGAGACGTTTTGAGTATCTCCTAAAGGCAATGTATAGTTTTATATTTATTTTAATTCCCGTGTAGAAATTTCGCTGGGGCCCTGATCAGGGCCGGATAGGGCTCACCTATTAGGGAATGATTAGATTGATTGGATAGTGGGAGTATGGTAGTCTAAGTGACTTTACGATTTAATTGCAAGAATTATTCCCTTTAACATTAATATCCACACAACAGTTTATATATCCAAACCTAAGTAAATTAATGAATAAACTTACTTATTTAAAGCAAACGTAAATGCTCCAGGCCATACATTTGATCGAACTATAGCAATAGAAATATTTTGTTGAAATTGAGATGATTGCCTTGAGGACCAGGGTGTAAAAAACTTTGAGGTTTCATCTTCAGACAGAGGAGTTAACAATGGTGTACTTTCTTCATTATTAAATATTTTTATGTTTTCATCCACATCTGCCACATTCTCTTCTTCTTCAATGTTATAGTCCTGTTAAAATAATTTGGTAATTATCCAGAAAACAACCTTAAATAACAGTTTTTGATCTATAACTCGGTCAATATTAAAAATAGCTTAAGTTGTTAAAGACGATTTCTATGTAGTCAATTTAATGACACGTAGGGACACATTTTCAAATGCTCTTAAACTCAGAAATGAAATAATTGATATATTAGATCTAATCAGTTTTAAATTACGCCTATGGTCCTCAAATGATCCTAATTTAATTTTTTCATTATCAAATGAGGTAAAGGACGTAGATTTGTCTAATGATCCATCAAATTGATTGGTATGAGTCTGTCCCGAGTAAAAATTTAGACCCTCTTTTGAGCCTCCTTTTTTAAACCTCTTTTGAACCTGAAAACGATGCGGAAAAATCCACATTCCGATGTTTAGAGATTGAAAAGAGGATTTTAAATTTTTGTAAATTTAAAATTTTTTAAATTTCTGTCTATTCTAAAATAGATTTATTGAAATCATTCAAAAACTATTATTTGCATTCTCTATAGGTCAATTAAAATATAACTCTGTGAAAAAAATGACAATTTTAGTTTGCAAAATATTTTATAAAATCTTTTTTTTGACCTCTTTTAAGCCTCCTTTCTTCTCTTTTTAACCTCTTTTGAACCTGTAATAGTGCGGAAAAATCAATTTCTGAAGTTTTTAAGTTCAAAAGTGGATTTAGAAGTTTAAAGAGGCTTAAAAGAGGTTAAAAACAGATTTTTCGAGAACTAAAAGAGGGGAATGACTATAGGAAGGTAAACATTGTCACAGAACGACACGTATACCAAATTCCTCAGGTCAATTCAACTCTTGATAAATTGCACGATTCCAAATATTTCACGAAAATAGACCAACGAAACGGATATTCGAATATCCCCTTATCACAGGAATGTAGACTGATTACAGCTTTCTTCGTACCAGGAAGGGGATTATACCAATATTGTATTATTAAAAAAGTATTACAACCGGAACTAGGCGTGCGCGTATTCGTTTATTTAGACGACGTTATCGTATTAGGGAAAACAGTAAACGAAAACCTAGAAAACTTTAGACGTATCTTAAAATTACTACGTGACGCGAACTTGAAAGTAAATGTCCATAAATCAGAGCTTTCAAAAACGGAGATAAAATATCTCGCCACATTGTAGATGAAAACGGTATACCTACCGACCCCAGAAAAATGGAACCAATCTCGTCTTTTAAGGTACCACAAAATACTACCGAATTACGCCGATTTATCGGCGTTGTTTCGTGGTACCGACGCTTCATAACGAATTTTTTCACGTTAACAAAACCCCTTACGGATTTACTAAAAAAGGACATAGATGGAACTGGGGTACGGATCATTAAAAGATAAATTAATAAGTTCTCCAGTTCTCGCAGTACCCGATTTCAACATTCCTTTTTGTCTCCAGAGCGACGCTTGTCAACACGGTTTAGGCGCGGTGCTTACGCAATTGCAAAACGGTAAAGTAGTAGTTATAGCGTACGCAAGCCGTACATTAAACAAATCCGAAATAAATTACTCAGTGACAGAGAAGGAGTGTCTTACGGTAGTCTGGGGGATAGCTGAAATGCATTATTACCTAGAAGGTTAAATCCATTCACCGTAATTACGGACCATCTATCGTTAAAATGGTTAAAATCGATAATTAGTCCAGCCGGTCTAATAGCCAGGTGAAGTGTATATCTCCAGCAATTCGACTTCGAAATAAAGTATCGGAGAGGAATCCTGAACAAGGTAGCAGACGCGCTTTCACGCAATCCAATTAACGACGGAAAGGACACCAACGAGACGCTCGAAGAAACGATCTTCAATATTACCGAAACGAATCAGTGCCACTGGTACGAAAATCTGCCAATGGCGACGGTCGCGAATCCGGATCGTTATCCTGAATATCCAGTTATAAACGGAAAGTTATATAGACACATGTTACACTCGTTGAACTTTACTGACCGGGATAAATCTTGGAAGCTTTGCGTACCTCGACCACTGAGAAACAAAGTCCTAATCGAAAACCACGATGCGCCCACGGCCGACATTTAGGCATCGCTAAAACAATTTCGCGCATAGCCGAAAACTACTACTGTCCTGGTATGAACGGCGAAATAACAGCTTACGTAAGGAAGTGCGCCTCCTTAGGAAGTGCATATAAGAATCCGCAAACCGTAATACCCGGTAAGATGGGAACATCGAACGCTACCGTCCCCTGGGAATACGTGTCTATGGACATCGTCGGTCCATTAGTACGCTCATCCAGGGGACACAAATATTTACTGGTCTTTCAGGACAAATTCACTAAATGGGTCGAAATCTGTCCTTTACGAGAACAAAAGATAAAATCCATCGTACAGGCCTTGAAAGAACGCGTAATTATGCGATCGGATGTCTCCGCGACAGATCCGTTGTTGATCTTTTTCGATCGCGTTTTTAAGGGATTTCGAAATAGTTAATTCACGTTGATAATTTAGATAGGCCGGGGTGAACAGTGTACTTTCGTTCTTGGCGGTGTTTATTGCAAATTGGAGTTCTGGAAGTAGGTTATCCCACGTTGCTCTCTAGACCGGGTTGCATTGGGGCGAATAAGGTGAAGTTTTTTGGTGGATTATGTCGAAATCCTCGAGAAACTTAGTAAAATCTGTTCTCACTTAATTAACAATCGTTACAAAACGTTGGCACCGTACTTTTAAAGCAGCGATTATGTGCTATAGTAATTCTAAATGGGTTCATTCTCTCTCTACGGCCTGTCAGGTTTACGAAACAATGTTTTGGACTCGGGAGCGTCGCTGGCCGAGTGCTTGTACCCTCAGAATTCAGGGAGAAATCGTGTTATCAGAAGATTTCTCTGCGAATCAACTAATCTTCATCGAAGAATTCAGGAAACATATGAGGACGGTTAAACCTGTACCCGTAGAGCACAAGCATAAAAGGAAAATATTCTTTCACCAAGACATATATATATACTTGCTCGCATTTCTTTTTAAAATCGGTACAGTAAAAAAGTGCTTGAATGCCCAAACTCTGGACCACATGAAGTTATCAAACGCACTTCTGATAGGGTATTCGAAGTGGAAATTAACGAAAATAATAAACAAATATCAATAGAAAATTTAAAGCTAGCCTTTTTCGCAAAAGACACGAATTCCGAAACAAATATTCAGGCGAGCAATGCACATTTAAATTACAATGCAACGGGGCAGGCAAATCCTGCACCTTCGACTTCGGAAAGTAAATTTAATTTTAACGTAAGACCCATGATGCGCACCTATGATAAGAAAAAAGGTCTCTTCTAAACAATAAAAACCACTTTGTTATAATTAAATATTAATATTAAGATAATATGACTCCAATATTTTTTTTAGAAAACATAGCGATATCTATAAAACGACATTACTTTTATTGTTAAATTTTTACGAGAAGATATTTATATTTGTTATTGTACATATATATATATATTTTTTTTTATTACAGGCTGTACACAGTATTATATGGTTACATAAAAAATTTAAAAACACACTCAGGTATCAGACGACTGATCACCGTGTAAATACTTGTATTTTTTTTAACAATGCGTTGTTGAAACTATAAATTTTCACAACTTTTCAATTGAGGAGCAGGGAAGAAGAACTCGACGAGCGCTCGAAATCATGCGCTAATACCAGACAAGAAAGCAGTGACAGGCCCAGAGGCGCTCACTGCTCCCCGACTGGTATTAGAGAGTTCGTTCACGTGCTCGGCGAGTTCTTCTTCTCGGCTCCTCAATTCTATTTTTTATATTTTTAAAATTTTGACAATTTTAATTTTAGCTACGACAACAGTTACTTTTTTCACATTAGTTTAAACACACCTTCGAATAACACTGCACTAATAGGCCAGTCGGTGAGTGCAAAAAGTGCACAAAAATACAAACAGCAAAGTCTCAGTGGTTTCTGGTAGTTTAGGGGCTCCATATAAGAGCCCCATAGTTTGCTCTCGATTTCCGGTTGCAAAAAATGGTATAAACAATCGTCAAAGTTTGGAAAACGTAGTTTTTCGATGACTGTTACTTCCGGTTACATTTTAGAGGAAAAAGTTGTGATTCAAAGTTGTAGAGCTTGAAAATACCTTTCAAATGACGGGTCATACGTTAAAAAAGGTTAATTAGTTTAGTTGCAAATGAATTTAAACCATTAAAAATAGCACTTTTAATTGTTGAATAACTTTGTTAATAATTATCGAATTTGTTTATAACTTCCCAGAAATATTCCCCTTGCGAGGCTAAAAACATGTAATTTTTCAATGGAATTTCCCCACTTTTGGACATGCGAATTTCGTTTTTTTTTTCTTGTAAAGTACACTTAAGGAGTCAAACTTTCATTCCAGTTAAACAGAAATTCGATTTGTTTAATTTAAGTGCATAATAATGGACTTCAAAGAAGGGTATGTTTTTTTGTCATAAACAAATGGAAATAATGGAATAACTCAGTCAATTTTCACTTTATCAATTTGGCGTAAGCGGCATTTAATTTCATTTGTTTTCACAAAACTTTTTCAAAAAAAAATCCGATCTAGTTTCAAGGGGGGGAGAGTTAGTTTTTATTTTTCAAAAAATTTCTGACTAGTTAATAATTAATATTTTTAATTGAAAATTGCACCACTTATAGTTCAATACATGTAATTTATAAACAAAAATTGAACATCCGATTTTGTGCTTTTATTTTTCATTTATTTTTCATTTACTTTCAAGTGAAAGTACTTGAATATTTTTTTCAATCCTTGGACGGTGGAGTGGGGGAATTTACGCGGGAATTTCGCCCGCCACAAACAGAATAATTCAGCCGTCAAATTCACAAAAATGGTCATAACTGCGTTAATTATTATCCGATTTTCATCTCTTTTTTATTAATTTGCTTTACTTTTTTACGCTCAATGCAAAAATAAGTAAATATTTTTTCAAAATGCAATTTTTTTGATAGTAATAAAAAAAATTTTTAACAACAAAATTTTA